GATCGAGAGGAAGGAGAAAAATATGGAAAAATATAGGGAGCAAACTGAATGTCGCTCGGAGAGATGAAGGTGTTGCGCTTGAAGAGATGAACGTCGCCATCGATCGAAGAGATGGAGGTCACGTCGGAGTTCTCTGTTGCTCCCACTAATGTCCGTGCACCCTTCCACGAAGACTATGGAGCTGGGAGGCAGATATTTTTTGGGTGAAAACTAGAGTTAGGTTTAAAAATTGGGTAATCTTTAATGTCGGGCTTGGCCCGTCATTAAAATTTTTATTTTTATTTTTATTTTATTTTAACGCCCTTTTTAACTGGTCCGTCCTTGTTTCCTCCAAGTGTTTTTGTCCGTCATCATTTCCTCCGTATTTTTTTTTTGTCCGACATTAAAACTCTGATTTGTTGTAGTGGTATTTAGTTACCATATATATTAAAACTTGATCCATACACTTGATGATATGCAAGAACCCAGATGTATAGACCAAACAAGCGTCTAGCCACTTGAATCTAATGGTATAGATGGTTTAACTTGAAAGGAAGAGTTAAAGAATTACCTTTGGAGCCAAATACCATGAGTAGACAAAATACACGCTATACTCGAGATCGAAACACTCCACAAGTTTGGTGACCAACCAAAAGCTTGAATGCTTCTCAGCAACACATCCTAAGTTCTATACACAAAAGAATACGTCAAAGGCCATTTGCGCAAAGGCAAAGGGTGGAGAAAAACCTCTCTTAATTATCCTCAACAAGCTTCAAAGAGGCTTCTTTATAGGCTAAGATTTTGGCCTTTACAAGAATTTTGTAAAATAATAATTAAGCTAAAATCAAAAGAAAATAAAAATGCAAAGATTATTCTTAAATTCGAAAAATACTACTTACATAAAATGCTAAAGAAATAATTCTTTTAACCAAAATACAAATTGAATCGAAAGAAAATAAATCTAAGTGTTGGAATTGCAAGGTGTGCAAACAAAGTTCCACATTGGTCAGGGAAGAGAGTGATCCATTGTATATAGATGAGGATAACTCATTGGTATGAGACCTTTTGGATGAAACCAAAAGGAAAGTTGTGAAGGTTATGCCCGAAACAGACAATATCATACTATTTTGGAGATACTTGTGGTACCATTGTACTCAACACTAAGACAAAATATTGTCTTCTAATTCAAATAAGAAAACAACTTTCCTTAATTTGACGAAGAGTGAGCGGCAAACGAAAGGGGCGACAGTAGGGGCATGCAGTACGGGTGCTCATACGAGCAAGTGAAGCTTGCAGTGTGGTGCGTGGCAAGGGCACCCAAGCCAACGTGCGGCAAAGGGCGCCCAAGGTTGGGATGCTGGCGCGCGCAAGCGGAGTGCCTCCATGTGAGGTTATCGCATGAGGGCTGGACGCACTGGACAGTCCTTTTTGCCTGTGATTGGCATGTGATCTCTCGACATGACTTCTTTCTTGGTCCTCCTTCATGTTCCTCCTTCTTCTTACCTCGTGTTGGATCTTCTTGACTTTTCAAAATAGTCAAAGTGAGACTTTTCCCGACTTTTTTCATAAAACGTCAGGAAAAGTGACATTTTTCATAAAACATCTGAAAAAGTTGACTTTTCTTCATGTTTTTTTTTTTACGTTGGGAGAAAAAACGTCGAACAAAGCCAACTTTGTTTAAATTCATATTCAACGAATGAAATTAGAACTTTTAAGATGAAGTGAAGATATGTAAAGTAAACTAACTTTTTTTATAATACAATAAGTGGGGTGGGAAGATTCGAACTTTTGAGCTCTTTATCGGAAACAAGTGTCAATTACAGTTGAACTAAGCTAATTTAGCAAAATAAAATAAACTATTAAAGAATCATATGCAATGTAATTGTATAAGTTTTGCTCGTAAATAAAGATTTTATCACAACGGAAATTAATATTTTGACCATTACCATTTTTTGAGTTCAATAACTACGAGTGAGATCAAATATTTGAAAGGGTAATATGTATCTTTATCGCCTCGTTATCAAAAATAATTTGACATTACCTAAATTAACCTTTCAATCTTTTAAATAAAGGCAACAGTGAAATTTTTTTTTTTTAATTAGAACCAAAGAATTATAAGGAAAATAAAGATGGAATTTGTTTTCCCCTTTTAAGTTTGCTTAAGGATAATATTTTCCCAACGTTGAACGACCCACATTTTTCCTCGAGGAATCTTTTTGTCTCCGCCGCAAGTTCCCTGTCTCCGGCAGCCCCATTCTCCGGCCACCGCCGCTTCTTTCCCTTTATTTAACTATCCCACACCTTTTTTCTCTCTCTCTCCAATAATTCTGAAACATAAGTAGGCAGCTTAACTTTTACTGGTTTGATTTCCATTTTTTCTTAAGGTTATAATCCTCTCATAACAATGTTTAATTTCAATCAATCATAATAAGCCATTTAACGATCATCATCTACCATTTATTAAACGAATCCAATCCCTACAAAATACTAAAGAAAAATTCCCATATTATATGTGGCCATAAATTTCACACAATACTTCCAATTTTGTCTTATCTCTTGGTGAAACTTATAAACAGTGTTAATCTTGTGATGTTTATCAGCTGCCTATAAACAATCCAAAAAAACAAAAAATCAGCTGCCTATAAACACCGAGAGCTTGCACAAGCCATTCAGCAGCAGCAAGAACCTTGAGGAACCCAACAATGGAGGAGGAGCAAACTAAAAATAAGCATGCCGGAAGAAAGAAGGGTGGCCTTATCACTATGCCCTTCATCTTCGGTACTATTCTTCTAATTTTTCTAGATCTGTTTTCTTTTTCTTTTTTTTTGGTGGGGTTTTGATTTTGCTTTTGGTTCATGGTTGAAAATTAAAGCGAATGAGATCTGCGAGAAGATTGCTGTGGTTGGGTTTAATACCAATATGATTAGCTACTTGACGAAGCAGCTCCATATGCCCTTAACCCAAGCAGCCAACACCATCACCAACTTCAGCGGAACCGCCAGCTTGACGCCGCTCATCGGAGCCTTCATCGCCGACTCCTATGCCGGCCGCTTTTGGACCATCACTGTCGCCTCCATTCTTTACCAGATAGTAAGTAATCGGTTTAGTAACATTTTTGTTTCTTATTTCCAGTTCAATCTTGATTGTGTTTCTTCGTTTCAAATTCATTAAATCCTAAACTTATTTTAGGTTGAGTTGACATAAAAATGAATAAACTATCACTCAAATAAAAAATTTAACATAATGCATATATAGATGTCTCAACATTATCTTCACTTTGACAGAAGATGAATAACTATCCTCGACCCAAAAACTTAAGAGGGTAGATTGAGTAAATTTAGTTTATTTATATGATTCTCAACCGTGTTAACGGAAACTTTTGAGTTGCATGATAGTTTATTTATCAAAAACTTCTTAATAAAGTGTGGTTATGTACGGTAGGGTATGACAATCCTGACGACATCGGCAGTGGTGCCGACCCTGAGGCCGCCACCGTGCAACGGCGGAGAAGTGTGCTCGCAGGCGGACGGCGGGCAGCTGGGAATCCTATACATATCGCTTCTGTTGACGGCGCTCGGGTCGGGCGGGATCCGGCCGTGCGTGGTTTCGTTCGGGGCGGACCAGTTCGAGGAGTCGGATCCGAAGCGGGGGATGAAGACGTACAAGTATTTCAATTGGTACTATTTTGCGATGGGGGCGTCGATGCTGGTGGCGGTGACGGTGCTGGTGTACGTGCAGGATAACATCGGCTGGGGCTGGGGCTTCGGGATTCCCACCATCGCCATGTTCCTCTCCATCGTCACCTTCATTGTCGGGTACCCGATTTATAGGCACTTGGATCCGTCGGGTAGCCCGTTTACCCGTTTGTTGCAGGTCGGGGTTGCCGCCTACCGGAAGAGGAAACTCGACCCGGTTTCTGATTACAAGATGCTGTATCAGAATCATGAGATTGATGACCCAATTTCAAGAGATGGGAAGCTCCTTCATACCAAACATATGAAGTAATTCTCTCTCCTCTTTCTCTCTCTAACTCTTTTTTTTTTTGCTCTAATTAATAATTGTCTTTAGAACTCAGATAGATATTTTTTTTGAATTCGCTAAAAGTTTTGATAGGTAGGAGAGAAAAAAATAGAAAAATAAATATTTTTCTTGCATTTTAAGAATGAAAAATTGTTATTTTGTGGTGGCCAACCAGAAAGTACAAATAAATCATTCTAACATTCAAGTTACATAATTTGTCCTTTCAAACGTAACTTAATAGATGAAGTATTGACTATCAAGTTCGATAGTTGGATTATTGAACCAAAAAGTAATTACTATCTAAAAAGAGAGAAAATAAATAGAATATTCTAGCTATAAAATATACCAAACTTTCAACCAAACACTTGGAACATAAGTATATTAGTCAGTTAAAACATTTTAATCTCCATCTTCATTGAGCTTAAAAATAATTAGAATCCTAATCACCTCTATGAATTAATTTCCTATTTGTTTTCTTAACAATCAAATGCAGTAGGGTGCCAATATGACCTTAGCTCAACTGTAATTGACATATATCTCCAATCAATATATTGTTAGTTCAATCTCCCACCCCTACATGTTGTATTTAAAAAAAATAAAAAATAAAAAAAGTGGTAGGATGCCAACTAGAACATAGATCAACTGTTTAAGGTACCTACGTCTAAACTAGAATATCATGAGTTCGAATTCCTACTCACGCATATTGTACTAAAAAAAGTGATATGGTCGGTTCATGAGATCAAAGTGTGTACAAATTGGTTTGAGCGTTCGCGTTAATATCAAAAAAAAAATTAAAAATACACCATCATTGTTGTGTTTATATTTAATTTGAGATCCCAATCTAGTAGATGGAATAAAAAGGAAATTATTTAGAATGTGGACACAAGTTTGAAAGAAAACTAGATGGCATTTGTTTGTCATTGAGCAGCGAGGGGTGTGGAGATGAGTGAGTCTGATCAACTTTGCCCTCTTTTTGACCAACAACACATAAGACTTTTTGGATTCTCTTTTTTGTGTTCTTGCTAAACAACAAAACCACCTCTGTTTCACATACAATATTTATCCCAACTTCCCCCCCTTTTTAATTCTTAAATTATATCCTCCATATTTCCTTTTTTTTCTTTTTTACTTATCTAATCTTTTTCTCTTGCTTTTTACTGTTCACAAACTTAATTTTCTGTTTTCTTTTTATATTCGACAGGAAAAATTACTTTTATTGCTGAGTCGTCTCTATCATTGCCTTTTTTTCTTCTTTTCTACTACTGGATTTTTTCTTTTTTCTTTTCCAATATATATTTCATCATAGTTGTTTTATTAGGATCAAACTGCACAAATCACTCCAAAAGTGGGGTGGTTGTTCCACCCTAAAAATTAAACTCTCACAGATTCATAAACAAAAAATTAGACTCCGAAACTGTCAATAATAAAAATTAAACCTTAAACTTTTGTAAGGGAGAAAATTGCACAATTAGTAAAAATTAAATCCTCACTTTAAAACAAAAATGGAGTAAATAAACTCAACTTTCAACTTTCTTTTAAGTCTGTTTACCTTTTACTTTTGAAAGTTTAGGGTTCGAATTTATTTATTTCATTTATGATAGTTGTTACAATTACACCCTTAAACTTTCAATAATTAAAATTAAACCCTAAAACTTTCTTGCACCCGTAAACTTTCAATTCGTAAAAATTAAACCCTCGCTGTGAAAGATAAATAGAGTAAATAGATCCAACCTTTCTCTTTTAAGTTTGAGGGTGTAATTTTTACTTTTGAAAGTTTAGATATCTATTTTACTAGTGATTATGTGATATTCTACCCTCATCGGGTCCTTTTTAGCTAGGCTTGAGAATCCATAGCTTGATTATAAGTTCTATTTAATCACGCAGATTTCTAGACAAGGCGGCAATAGTAACAGAAGAAGACGAGCTGAAAACGGGCCGAAAGCCCAATCTATGGAAGCTGAACACAGTCCACCGAGTGGAGGAGCTGAAGTCCGTAATCCGAATGGGCCCAATATGGGCCTCAGGAATAATCCTAATCACGGCCTATTCCCAACAGAACACATTCTCCCTCCAACAAGCCTCAACAATGAACCGCCACGTCACCGAATCCTTCCAAATCCCGGCCGGCTCAATGACCGTTTTCACCCTCCTCACAATGCTCGTCACCGTCGCCCTATACGACCGCGTTTTTGTCCCCATCGCCCGCCGCTTCACCGGCCTCGACCGCGGCATCACCTTCCTCCGCCGCATGGGCATCGGCCTCGTCATCTCCGTATTCGCCACCCTCATCGCCGGCTTCGTCGAGAAGAAGCGGAAACACGCCGCCGCCGGTGACCCCATTTCAGTCTTCTGGCTGGTGCCGCAGTACAGCCTCCACGGCATGGCGGAGGCGTTCATGTCCATCGGCCACCTCGAGTTCTTCTACGACCAGTCGCCGGAGAGCATGAGGAGCACCGCCATGGCGCTCTTCTGGACCTCCATCTCCGCCGGCAACTACTTGAGCACGCTCCTCGTTACGCTCGTGCATAAGTTCACGGCCGGCCCTGGGGGATCCAACTGGCTAAGGAATGATAATCTGAATTTGGGGAAGCTCGAGAATTTCTACTGGTTGATTACTCTGCTGCAGGTTTTTAATCTTGTTTATTATGTGTTTTGTGCCAAAGTTTACACTTTTAAGCCGTTGGAGCTTCAGGGGAAGGTTGTAGATAGCTCTAAGGTGGATGAAGTTCAACTTGTCAACCATGTTTAGATCACCTGAAAAATGTTAGGAGGATCGAATTCACCGCATCTTCAATGAAGATATATATCAATTAACTTGTGTCTTATCGAATAGTTTAAATAAATCAATGAAAAAAATCAATCACATTACATGAAAATTTATACTGATATGTGTAGGCAAGTACTATTAATGCATGAAAATGGTTTCTTTTTTCTTTTTTGGTTAGGAATACATTTAAGAAATAACCAAAAACATTAACTTTTTCATAATCTTTGCCATTGCATCATGGAACAAGACAATTTTGACAAAGCCACCTCTTAAAAAGATTTAAACTTGTTCCTCCATGAGATGATTTTCTTCTAAATAATTATGTTACAAATTTTATAACAATATAATAACTCTGGCAATATCCATTATCTTACACTAGGGATGTCCACTTTATGTTTGAAGCCTCGTCTTCACGGGAACCCATTTAAATGGACGAAAAATCTCTGTTTAGATTCTCCGTAATTTGGAGGATAGGGAAAAAATTTTGCCCGCCACCAAAAGGAGGACGAGTACAAGAATTCATCTATATTATATATATACATATTAAATATTAACATCTATGTATACCTATAATAAAAAAAATCATGTATTCCTCTCTAACCACCCACCCAATATATATACTAAGGAGAACTAGACTTTGTAAATATCTTTAGAAATTAAGTAATTAAATAAAAATTTCCTAAGGGAAAGAATTTTTATTGAAAAAAATTTTTAAAGTAAAAAATAAATAAATAAACAGTAGAGATCTCTACGGTGAACTCAATCCCAACAAATTTACCTAGGGGAATCATCACCCCGATCTCCACGAAATTTCAAGGAGAATTTCTTGGGATGGAGAATTAAATGGGGGCAAGGATCAGGACGAGGACGTTCCTCGTCCCCACTCGCACTTTGAACATCCCTACATATGACTAGTTTACATGCATTTGAGCTTAAAATAAAGGATAAAGAGGTGTAGAGTCGACATTGAATATTCCATAACACTGCGATTCTCCTTCCGGCATTTTATTCTCATTGAACATACTTTTAATGAATCCTCTAATCAAAACATTTGGCCTCTTCGGCGTCCCTCTGCCGGAGCTAATATGACTCTTAAAATTTTTGTTGTACGCCGACGCATACTGCGGGGTTGCAATGTTACCGTTTCCACACGTCGGCCACCCAGTTTCTCCCACCGCCACATCCACATCCCCGACCCCTAACTTATCCATCGCTGCATAAAACGGATCCACCATTGCATCAAACAAGTTGTCATAACTCAACCCACCGTCGTGAACTACTGGGGTTTTCGCACCAAATGTTGCATAATTCAAACTTATAGCCCTGTTACTATACGCATATTTTGTATACGGGCACACACTAACCATCAGCGGCGACCCTTCTCGCAACAAGAATCGTAGGATCTCTCTGATGTTGTCGCTAGCATTTGGATCGAACGCGCCGCTGGACGGAGGGTCTTTAACGGCCAACGCGGCGTTATACCCAACCAGTGTTGTGAGTTTCACTTGTCCAAGGTAGCGGGCATTGAGGAGATTTTGAAGGGATTTCATGACTGGCAATATGCAGTCGTCGAGTCCCGGGATAGCTTTGTTGCCAACGATGATGTAATTGATGACAAAATCGCCGATGTAGGGTTCCACATAGGTATTGAACCACTCCACCACCGCGGATTCATTAGCTTTCATGTTAATTAACATGTCGTTGGGCACGCCAAAGGATATGTCAATTCCCGCGCCGCAAAATGCATCAAAGACCTCAAGGTTTGGTTCGTCCAGTCGAATCCGCCGGATGTTGTATTTTACGCAAAGTTGCACAACCTTCCACGGCGGTGGCACGTTGTCCCCGAAGAGACCGTAGTAGACGCCGAGAAGAACGTCGTTTGCTCTAACGGCGGACATGGAAGCCATGAAGAAGACAATGATATGTGCAAGCTTTGCCATTTTTCTGAAATTAATTGAAACCCACTTCTAATTAAGTCGCAGTTAATTACGAGAGAACAGATTATAAAGTCACAATTTTTGTCTTGTTTGGGCAAATTAAACCTGGAAAGATAACTAATTGTTGTTTTGTTGTTGCATGTATAGTAAATTTTGCCACTAAATTTGTGGTGGCTTCTTTTTCTTGGATGTTCATTGTCGTCAATATCTCTGTTTCCGATCCCCCGATTTTCTCTCCTTAACGTCCTCGAAGAACAACGTTAAACATCTGTCTCAAACAAAATTAATAGATCAGAACTATGGCTTGTGTTTGTCGATTGTTTTAATCTTCTTTTGACCTAATTTGAGGAACAAACAATTTTAGATATTTGCCTAATTTACATGGTGATGCATGTATAATGTCCTTGTTTTAGTTAAAATATACTTATTTTTAATTTGATTTATAAAGTTTGTTCATTACATTTTAACAACTATGGAATTCTTCAATCTAATAATTTCCGTACCTTTATCAACTTAAAAGTGCATTTAAAGTTTTATTAATTCCAAACTTAAAAATTTTAAAATTCTAATTTCTACCCATTACAGTTTATTTATTAAAAATTTTAAATTGTATTTTAGACTAATTTTTATATTACTAAAAAAATAGATGTTATAAAATTTCATAATGGATTAGTAACATTATACTTTGAGTCTATACTTAGAAATTTGGAATAAATAATTAAACTATTTGTGAAAGCGAGCTTATCTTAGCGGTAAAGATTGTGAATTCGATCACACCCCATATTGTACTAAAAAACAGAATTTAAACTGTTTACATAAATTTTAATAAAAATAATTTTACTTTCCCACAAATTTGTTATTAAATTTGTAACACTAAAATAACCTGTTCTAGGAATAAAATGAAGCATAAAGCTAAAAGATAAGTAAATCGAAAATAATTAAAGAATGAAGTTACTATGAATTTTTTTATTACAACATGTAGGGTGGAGATTCAAATTCTCAACTTTGTAGTTGGATACATGTGCCTTAACCCATCGACTCTGATTGACATCTGATCTAAATTAATTGAACTCAATTCATTTAAATTCAAGAGTGGGAAGGTTTATATAGAAAAGAAAAACCCTATGAAAAGAGATGCTCAACTTCTTTTCAGTTATAATCAGTACAATCAGTAACTGAAATAACAAATTAACGATTTATCTTCATAGAAATCCACCTAATACCTCCTATATTTAGAGCTTCAATCCAGCGGCCAATGGCGATCAGAAATCTTGTTGGGGCTTCATACTAATTTACAAATAAGTCATTCGTAAATATGCTTGAATATTACAATTGTTCGGCTAGTTTTTAGACTAGATTTTGTCGGTAATTTTTCTGAATTTACTTTGGTAATTTTTTCAAGATGATGACTTGATCGATTTTTTTTTATAGTATCTATATTCATATTTCAAATTAAATCTAAAAAATATTAATACGAACGATAATAATTCTATCATATAAAAGAAGTTGAAACATGACAATTTTATATTTTAGTCCAAACTTTTACTAACTATTACATTTAAAATAATGTCGTCAAATAGTAAAATTCATAGTATATAAGATGTAAAGTTAATAAAAATTTACCTTAGACTGTGAATCTCCAAATTTTCGACTTCTTTAGATTATGCAAAATTGAAATAAAAAATCATACAAAATAAGAACAATTGAATATGAAAATTGATGATTTTAAAGAAGGGGAAAAAATATCAATACAATAATTTACTTTTAAAAAATACCTAATGACAATGTATAAATTAAAAACAAAAATGAGTCATGAAATTGTATGCAACAATTAGACCATAAAGGTCTTACCAACCTATATATTCGAAACACTTCATTTAAAAGCAAAGTATATTTGAATATGAAGCAATCCATGAATGGTTTCTATTAAAAAAAAATTGTCCATAAATTAAACCCTTAATTTAGGGGATGGAGCATCCCAACACATTTATTCCCTCCCCAATTCATTAGAAAATAATTATAGAGAAATTCATCAACTACATTTTGTTTTTTCAATTTAAATAATTATAGAGGATTTAATAGTTGCATGTAAAATGACTAATATGTCTCCCATTTTTTAAAAAGGTTATAATGAGAGGACAAAGTGGTACATAAAGTTTCTCATAATAGTGGTTTTTATGTATAGTACAGATATCAAAGATAGAGTCAATTAATGGAGTGTATTAATGTTATCACTTATTTAAGTTCATGATTCAATTTATCAAAAGTGTGGGATGTAGTCTAAACAATCACTTTTTTCAATACAACCACTACAACAAATTTGCCTTTTCATGACGGGCATTGCCCGTCATTAAATAATAACCATGTCGGTCACTGACCGACATCTATACGAGTGTCCTTGTTTCCCTTTCATGTCGGACAGTTTTAAGGTCGGGCATTGCCCGTCATGTATATTCTCTTTCCATCCGGACGTGGCCGTCATGAAAGGACTATTTTAAGGTCGGGCAGCGCCCGTCATGTATAGCGTTTTTCATGATGGACATGCCCGTCATGAAATGATAACCATGACGGGTGACAACCGACATTGTATGTGCGTCATTGTTTGTACGCCATCGTCTGTTCGTCATGGAAT